TTCCTATTGTAAAGTTATGCGCTGCTTGGTCGTCAGCCAAAGAATTTGATAGCTTGCTTGTTAGGGCACCTGATTCGAAAACTTTACCTTCCACCGAGTCCTGCGAGGAAGTGGAAGACCACCATCTGAGTAGTGTTGTGTGCAAACCCACAGGCAGTGTTGAAGATCAAATAGAACAAATTAGCCAGCTGTAGCACCAAAACTCGACCGTAGACCTCAGATAGTGGACCAATGAGAACGGACCGAAGGCGTATGCAAGAATGAAGACCGAAAGACAAAGCGAAGAGATGAATGCGCTCTGAATATGTAATGCGGGACCGATACTGCTCAATGCAGGCGCTACAATAGAAGTCGAGATTGACGAGATGAGAGTGTAGGCGGATACGACGACGGTGACTGTCCATTTGCGCCGGTATGTCCAATTTTGGGATTGGCAGGGTCATCCGGACCGTCCCAGGTGACCTTTGCGTGTGCATTAGCCTATGTATGTTCTTTGGTTTCTTGAGTGCCCGGACGTCAACACTTGCCAGATTGGATATTGGTGGGGTTGAACTCGACTCTGATTTCTCAGGCAGTACCGGCCTCTCCAAATCATCACGAAGCGTACCATCGACGGGGTCCTGGTTCGGCCCAAGCCCAGCTTCGGCTTCCACGATTTGACTATCTCCCATAATGGTGTTCTCGTATGAGTTTTAGGAATAGAGTTCTTTCCAAATGGGCTGGGGTCAAGGTCGTGCTCAAAGTGAGACTATCGGTGCTACCAGTGCTATGAACGGGGAGGGGCAGGAAATGCTCCTAGAGCCAGAAGAATATGAAGGCGCACTCTTCTGATCGCGGAGGGTAGCCGTGTGGCAAGTATCCATGTCAGATGTGAGGAATACGGATTTGTTTTTTAGCAGGAGATATGGGGATAAGCCAATAGGAATTGTAGGGTGTAGAAGCGTAGGGAAGAAGGGGAAGAGTGAGAAGAGGGAAGAGGGAAGAAGGCCGTTGAATGTTGGGTATTGCAGGCGGTGAGTTTTGAGGTAGAGCCATTACCTTAGGCTTACCCTATTAAAGCTCTTTATATAAGGTAAGTTTATCGTTAATAGCATTGGATAGTACAGTACACTACAGTAACATACCTAGGTATGTTACTGTATCTTGGGACGGACCGCGGAGTGACAGGCCTAGCTCCGGCGGAGGCGGGCACCTTCTAAAGTACCTTACCCTTTCATCTTTGACATCCTTTGTACTAGACTCGCTGTTGGCTTCATTAGCTTCATTCTCATCATGACAGAACAGACTGAAGATCTAGAGCAATGTCATTCATCATCCTCCTTCCTCCTTCCTCCTTCCTCCATCCTCCATCCTCCTTCCTCCTTCCTCCTTCCTCCTTCCTCTTGCTCAATTTTGGCCCCCCCATCCGAGCGAATCTGTAAACGTGCGGCCGAGGTAGGAATCACGAGTCTATCGGGTTTCAGCAGCCCGGAAAGTAAGATCTTACTATTCAAATCGCCTCGATTTCAAGGAAAATCATATGGGTTTGTCGAGAGTCTCGATTGATGTACGATATACCCGGCGGAGAACCCGTTGAATATTGGATTATGGAGAATTGGTTCTCTCATTGGTCATGTCTTTCACTGGACAAGCTAAGAGCGATAAGGAGCGATTGAATTGGCAGACTATCTCTACGTTGTCTGATTAGAGCGAGGACACCAATAGATCAAGCGACATCGCACTAAGTAAAAAGATCTGTTGGTGTCCTCGCTCTATCAAGTAGCTCACTTCTCGAACGCACGAGTACATCATTGCCAAAAGCTGGCACAATTACGTGAGAACGTCAATGCTTTTCTTGTGCGGCATTTCATCTTCTCAGCCTTTGAATAGTATAGCAAAGTGAAAGGGCAATTGATGGTACAACATATCCATGTGGTCCACTGGCACGACTCCACCGCTAATTGTTACATGCGGTCCTCTCTACGTCCGCTCGGCGTGCGATATACAACACGGACGATTACCCAACCCCGCTGGTGCCGCTGCTGACGACAGAACCGGTCGGATCTCTACATAAACTCCGTCTTACAGTACTCCGTACCAAACAATCAGCCGCACACAGGGTTACATTCCTAAGCTGTCCGGTGGTCCCAGTTTTAGGAATCCTGATGTCGCTCACTTGGACTCTTGTCACATATTCCGTAGCATCAATGGAAGCCTGTTCCTGTCTCCCAAGCTCTCAAGTGACTATTCTGGATTTGGGTCTTTTACTTTTATGCCCATTGGATCCGTAGCCAAATATGCTACGAATGCAGCCCAGACCCGATATTCTACGGCAAGAGGCTTCTGCCTACCTGGATCGACAGAATTAGTCGCGAGACCTCTGACCAAGTTTGGGCCGCGGTGCCGGGATCTATGGACCCCAAAAAAGGCTTTTGTGATGTTCAATACCTTCAGCTCGTTGCTGTTATCGACACAATTGCTTGGTGGATAGATAGAGTCAATCATTGTTCGAAACACCGACTTTGAGACTGTAGCTTACATGGGTTGCATCTTCTTCTGACTCCTTCTTTCCTGATTGGGGCCGACATCGGCGCTTCACACATCCGGATGTAAGATATATCATTGGTATATTTCTTGTGTATTCTCCTTTGGAGCTGGAGATGACCGTAACTCATTCTTATTGTGTATAGGAAGATATCAATAGTGAGGAGTAGGTCAATGGACGGTACTGTCATAGCTAAACTATGTCTTCGCATCTTGTCATTAAAGGCTGGCATTATTTTGGCCACCTTTATCCCCTCACTCAGCACTTCCCAACACCTCTTTCAGCTCCACCTCCTATCCCACTCCCGCGCACTTCATCTTCAGCTCCTCTATCTCCGCCGTCAGCCTCGCCACCTCCCCCGTGCCCGAAGCGCACAACCCGTTCCTAACCTATGCCGCAAACACCGACTATGACCGTTCTGAACTCATCGCTGAGAAATCATCTAGTGCGTGATGGACTCCAAGTCGGCCAGATCATACGCAATAGCGCACATGCGGCCTGAAGCGTTAACGACGCTATTCCGTTGATGGTGCGGTCGGCGCTCACGATCCATGCGCTGCCCCCGCTGGACGAGCAATGTGCATAGCTGCGCATTGATACAGTCGCGGTGAGCGTGATGGTTATTGCGGGTCTCGCTGCCAAAACGAGCCACAAAGGTGACGGATGATACCTCCTCGACCTCCATGCTCGGCCTTTCCAATCCGCACACTTTCTCCTAACGCGCCACTCTCTGCCTGCCTCGCGGGCTGCGGACCTCGGATTTGACGTGTTGGCGCCGTGGGAATGGTTACGCCAATTACGGGATTCTGAGAGAGATGTTGAGGGGAATCCGGCTTTAGATCGCTGGGTTTTGGAGCGCCCGGATCGATGTGGCGGTGAGTGGGAGGGGAGGACCATCGCGGAGGGTCATATTCGGAAGATGTGGATTGTAGAGTGTAGAGTGGGCGAGTGCAAATGGTGTATAGAGCTCTTGCTCGAAGTCTCCTCGTATTTGTTGTCTCTGAACGCAGAACTTGCAAGCCTGAATGAAGCGATGATGGCGGCGGCAAGGTATGACCGGAGTAACATACAAGGTCATTTAGATATGTCCACCTACTCTATCAACACCGTTTGCATTGTCTGCGGTCTCCGCACTGATCTAATGAATGGGAGAACTTGGTGGGAGATTTGTACGCGAGATTCCTGGTGGGAGAGATTGCGTGGAAAATTGTAGGAAAGATGTTTGGTAGGAGAAATTGTGCGGAAAAAAATTGGTAGGAGATTTTGTATGGGAGAAACTGCAAGGGAGGCTTTGTATGGAAGATGTTGGCTGAGATATATTGTGTAGAAGTTCTGTAGATTCATACCAGTTGCTACCATGATTGGCGAGAAGTTCATTGGGTATCAAAAGGCTGTCTAATTATAAGCTATCTTGGTGATAATACACATGTTGTCAAGCTACGATCACCTTGTTTAAATTGACAGTTGCTACTCAACAAGGAGAGCTCATGCTCTCATGAATAATAGTATATCCAACGTATTGACGAGTAGACACATACGTAGCTGTATGGCCCTGTGTGCTTAATAATAGACCATTTGACGAGCTATCGTAAGTATGGACATGTGAAGTCGTGGAGGGATAAGTGCAAAGTTAGCTAGGAATAAATCATGTTGCCAGTGTAGGGAAAAGATTTTGATGAGAATGCCCTGTGGGCGAGTGGCTGAAAGTGTAGGCAAGACGTTGAATTCGCAGCGAAGGAGTGACGCCATTTCTGAAGCTATTGACCATCTACTTGAAATTCTTGTGTCTTATGTGCTCGTAGGTAGGTGAGGGACAAATGGCAGCGGTGTTTATTCTACTTCCCGGTGGTATATTTCGCCTTTCTTTCGGATTTAGTTCATAAGCTCGTTGGATACCGTCCCATATTCGAGTTTTGGAAGGGGTTATCGGCTCAGTGGTATGCGTTCTTCGGGGACAAAAGAGTCGGCGTGTGGGAGAGAGAACCCAGTTGTTATTAATACAGCTTGTAGGGCAAAAGTGTTGTGGGGGTATTTAGGTTATTAGGTTCGATTCCTAATAATGGCGCTGGTACGGAGTTACAATGGTGTTGCGGTGCTTTTTATTCCAAAAGACTGCAGCCTTGGCATTAAAGCTGTTGCGTGGGGCGACCGAAAAGTAAATAGATCATCCTCCTAGCCACATTGCGACAACCTCCAAGCTTGTACCACTTGATCTTTCAGTCTTTACGGGCTGGCTCATGAAACTTGAGAAGGCCTGCATAACCAAAAAGTCCTACCATATTGCCATTCGCAGACCGATTGTCTCTTCACCAACACCGTGCATTGGACTGATTCAATATTTACAATCGTCTAATGGCAGACAGCCTCTAGCGGATTCATCTCCAGCGATCGAAAGCACTTCAAAAGTTGATTTCATTACTCCCTACCAACCATGGCTCCAATCGCTTCCTATTTTTCCATCCTCTTCTCCTCTCCTCACGCCTCGACCTCGAAATCCTCACCTCTCATTACACGCTCCGACACGCTCTCCCCCTCCAAGCAGGTTCATACTTTGCTACACGAGACATCGCAAAGCGAGCAAGCACAGCATACCAACCCGGTTCCGGCTCCGTTGATCCTCACCATATCGACAATCGCGGCTTCTTTGCCCTCTTCGCTCTCATCGGCGTCTTTCTCGTCCTCGGCGGAATATGGTTCTTCTTCTGGGCAAAGAATGGTGGCATCAAATTTCGCAAAGGTGATTGGGATGACTACAAGTCTACGGTACTGCGGCGTAAGGGCCCGAACGGCACAACACTGAGTGGAGCGACAAGAACCACGAGGTTGGGCGGAGGGAGCGTGGTAGCGGGTGGAGGTCAAGACATGGATGAAAAGTTCTTCAAGACAGGAGCTCAGGGGGGAAGGAAAAACAAGTTGCCAAGGGGAAACAAGAATAATGAAGACACCGACATGCGGGCATACCGGCAAGAGAAGCCTGCTCGTGTCGGAGGACTCAATCGTGAATCCGACGGTATCTTCAACCAAGACTTTGCGTACTCTGACACCACGTATTCGGATGATATCTCGCAAGCACAGCACATCCCAATCAATACGCCCAAGAAGAAGGATTCGAAATGGACCAAGCCTACGAAGAATGCGGAGCCTACTCCCACTACCCCGTCGCCGAAGAAAAAACCAAACTTCTATAACCAGACGCCAGGCTCCAACAATAGTACCGACTCTCACCGTCCACTAAGGCCGAATGCTCATGCGCCGAGCACGGATAGCACGCCGACGCGCTCGAGACAGAGCTCTCCAACCAAACATCATCGATCTAAAGGAAGTATGCCGGGCAGTTTCTACATGGAGCCATTGGATTTTGAGAGCAGATACAGTGCGACCAATAGCGATGCTGGGATGACAGAGGACAGTAGGGGTACGAAGGCGTACTTCCATCCTATTCCTGGTCTGGGAAGTGATTCGGGGAGAGCTGCAGGCGGGGGGTTTTAGGAGGGGAAGGGGTAGGAGGGATAGTCTGAGTGACAGTGAAGGTGAGACGATGGCTAGTTGAGGAATATGAGGTTGCGAAGGGATTGTCATAGTTTGATGATCAGTGATTGCATAAGCGGTTGGGCATCGATCAATGAGCGCGTGTATGTGTTCTCTAGCATTGTCGCATTGTTTGCCAAGAACATACAAGCAGATTATGAGTAGCCTTTGGCCAATACCACATATCCAAGATGTCCGCAGGGCGCAATGACTTAGCACAGCGCAGTCCGATGTCGAAATGTCCCATAACCTCACATTGGAAGTTGAAGAGGGAAGAAATGTACTCCAAAAACTGGTAATGCTTGAACTTTGTTTGTACCCTCGTCTTGGTGTCACGAAATGAGAGTCGCGACCCTTCGTTGCGATGCCGTACACATGGTTCCTGGTCTAGGGTACATAGATACACGCTATCACTCCTAAGACAGGTTTAGGGGCTGCAATGCGTGCTTTGCTCGAGAAACATATTGCCCTCTCCTCTAACATGTTATCTATTCGGTGAATCGTAAAGCTCTTCGCCAAATCGATGAAGCAGAGACGGAGTAACTGAAGAAGCCATACATTGATCTGATACTGCCACACAGCCCGACATACTACCCAACAATATAGCAACGGCCGTCCCAGCCGCACCGACGCCATACCTTCAACCCATCACTGCCTCCTCTCCGTATCCACAACGACCACAACCGGCACCTCCCTCGGCCCCTCTTCCCCCATTCCCAGCCATCGCCCAAGAACACCCACAGCCCAACCCGCCAGTTCAACCAAACAATCCAGCAAGAAACCAACCACGAGCCAAACCGCCCTCGCCAACAACCACACCGAACGCAACACCAAGCCGAACAAACACAGCACTCCTACGACCCACACCAGCGCCCCAAGCACGGTGAAAACCCATGGAACCTCCACACACGCCTCCGCCGAAGGAAGAAACGTCAACCAATTGTTGACGGCTGGGAAGGTGGAGCCGCAGATCCGGACTTTGAAGTCGGCCGCGTAGTTGCCTTCGGCGAAGAGGGCGTTGATGGTGTCTTCGGGGGTTGAGGGGCCGAGGGCAAGGTCGCGGAGGAAGAGGGCGAGGATGCGGCCGCTGGCGAGGAAGTGGGAGAGGGAGGATTTGTGGAAGGCGGTCGTGAGGAAGGGTGGGGTGTCGGCGTTGAGGTCCGAGAGGGAGAGGGGCATGGTTGGAGTTGGTTTGTTGAGGAAAATATAAAGGGGTAGTAAATGTGAATCGATGGGCGGTTGGAGGGAGTGGTGAGGTTTTGATGGTGAATACGCAGAGATTAGAAAAGGAAAGGGCATTGAAGCACGAGGTTTAGAGAGATGGGGGTAGACGCTGTTTCTAGAACCTTTTTGTCTCATGGGACAAAGCAAGATAAGGGAGGTGTCGGGTTCGTCTTGCATGTCTCCATAAAGGCAATGAATGCTTCAAGACAGTAAAATCCTCCGAACAAGACCGAGACAAAGGAAATTTGCTCATGAAACGTCGCAAATTGCTTGATGGATAAAGTGCAGATTGAGTCTTTAGAAAATCCAGGAAGGCATACTGTCATTATCCAAAAGGGGTATATAACGCCTCCAAAGCTCGACCCAGAGCTATCATGACACCCATGGACGCCTGAAGAGTGGGATCAACCCCGAGCCAAAATAACAGCCAGCGATCAACACGAGCAGAAACAGCGGCTATGCTGCGGTTGACAATAGAACCAAATCTTACCACTGAGTTTGGCATTCCTTCCAAACGTGCATTCCATCCACCGTCAGCCCAAGAAGTTGCACGTTCTTTGACCTCTGCAGTCGGCACAGACGAGGCGCAGTTCCTGCTCAATTTGTGCCTCGACCGAGCAAGCATAATCAGAGTATGCAAGGCTGTTGGGATTTCGCAGACCAGGCAGGGCTTCATCCGGCAGATTCGATCGCCCGAGGTTCGAAGTCACATGTGGGTTCCTGCCAGTGTATACCATATGAAGCTAAGCAGTCTTATCGTAAAGTCGTGAAGAAGGGCCGTCAGCCATAGCGCGGACCGTCATCTACGCCGGGCTTGGGTCGTCTGAAGGGGTGAGCTTCAGTATTCCTAAGCATCGAATCAGCGGCAGCCCTGCCACATTGCAAATGTCACGCAGCAGGTTTAGGTCACTTACAGCACATACTCATCCAGACTAACAACACTCGGCTCGCTAAAAATCAAATAGAAATACTTCAGCGTCTCCGCCATCCAAAAGCTCTCCATCTTATTCTGCTTCGCCGACTTATCAATCCTTACATCCGATATCATTGCATTCCCAAACTCCGTCCGCGTATTCCTCTCGATGTTCGAGAACATGCGCCATGCCGAGTCTAGAAGGTCGGCATCGCCAGTAAGGCGATAGAGGACGAAGACAGACTCGATGGCTTCGGGCCGGAGCAGGTATCGTGCGTCCCAGATTTCCGTGAAGCCCCTGGGGGTCTTTTCTTCGTGAATGGTGTAATTCAGAAGTTGTGCATCGGTTCTGATTTCTTCGCCCCCTCTTGCTTGCCCTTGGCTCTTTCTAGAACCGTTGCCTCCCATTTCTTTTCATCCCACTGGCAATCAGAGTTCATCTCGCATGGCACCATGAAGAATTGTTCGGGCATGATCCCCGAAGGCATGTTGTCATATGTCCATATGCAGCCATCGACGAGTTTCCTTGCCGTGTTCATCTGCTCCGGCTTGTCGAAGATCTTCGCACCAATGCCTACCATACCACCGATGTAGCATCCCAAATGCTGGCCTTGTGCGCTGAGTCTGGTTCCAGTGATGCTGTCCACTACTACAGCTCCCGACATTAGAATGTCCTTATTGTCCGGTACCATAGGTTGAAAGAATATGTTGTTGATAGCTGTGGTCATGGCGAGATCATACATTTTTTTGAGCTGGTCCTCATCGTCTCGGCCACCGATCAGCATGTGCTGCTTTGGTAGGTATTCGTACCACGAGTCCGCCATGCTACCAAGCGTGTAACTGTTGTCCTGAAAAGTTAGAGCCTTCGCGTTCATAAGAGTTGGCCATAAGCCTGGTAAAGAGGTGTAGCTTTGCCATTTCTCGAATTCGTTCAAGATCCTCTTTACTGCATCGTAATACTTCAAGTTACCCGTCAATTGGGAAAGCCGTGTAAACTCCAGGGTGAGGGAGCCGATCTCAGCAATGAGCGTCGCGGTGCCCGCCGTTTGTTGAGCTCCCTCAAGCGCCTCTTTCCATTTCCATCGTGTGACTGGCATACGATTCGGCGTATCGAAGGCGCAATACAGTAGATCTCCCACCTCCGTCGCTTTTTGTAGGAGAATAGGATATGTGCCACCAGTCAGGTCATAAGCGCCAAGAAAGCCCCCAAGGTACCTGATCGTTGTCTCGAAAATATTGAGCATGCTGTCAGTCGTTGAATTGAAATCAATGTCCTTAGCAGCATCGACAGCCTCATCAAACTCCTCTTTCATGCCCATAATCCAGAGCGTATCCAATGTATCCACTAATGTAGCAGCCCACCCTCCAAAAGCCTGCACGCTCCCGCCGTCCAAGGGGGTCAGCTCGTCTTTCATCCACGCATGTGCCTTGTATCCCGCCCATGAGTGCTCGAAGCTCGACTTGACAGCACTCAGTCTCCGCAACCGTGTAGCCTTCGCCTCGTCTGTTTCAGCGTCAAAATCATGCTGGACCTGTGCAAGCTTGTAGGGCAACCCTTTCGAAAAGTATTTGTAGTCATTGACCGGATTCTGCTCGAGGAACTTGCGTGTGCCGAAAGTGTGCTGGCCTTTTGTGAATCTTGGAGGGGGTCCCACCGCTTCTGGAGAGTCCGGGTTTGCGGCCCCTTGGGGAAAAGGTCTCTCATCTATTGAATTATTGGAAGGAACATCATTGTAGCCATAGCTGGTCGAGCTTGACGTTGAGGATTTTCCCTTTGTTCTGTACCCTTGCCTAGTCTTCGCCTTTGTTGCGTTTGAAGTGACGTCTTGTAGAGAGTAGACGTACCATACTCCGAGGACGAGGATCGAGGCTAGGACAAGTGAGGTGATCCTTCTGCGTGGCATAAACATGGCGGCGAAAGAATCAGGTGACCGCCCGACAGGGAGGATACAAGGAAGCGATACGCTCCATGCCTTGAGGTCGTGGAAGTGGCATATATGACAGGTGGTTCATTTACTCGTCAGGTAATTCGAGCCTTCTTGGGCGGCTTGGGCCCCGTCAGCCCGCAGATTGCCAAGGGCGCGTTCCCCCCACTTGGCTCGGTGCAGATCATGGCCATACGGAGCACACTTTGCTGAATGAACTCTCAAGGAGTAGTTCTGTATAGAGATATGCTACATTCTAATGTATTTAAAGTATGAATACATATTGATCTATTCGAAACGAGTACCCGGGAAGACCGCCTGTCCAACAGCCAGCCAGACCAGGATTTGCCGGACGCTATGCTAGAGAATAATATGGAGCGCTCTCCCTACCCGCGCTTCCTATTACCAACTGTGTCGCTATGCATTTGAAAGATTTATACGATAACGCCCGCGCAGTGCATGGAGCGAAGACTTTTGTTGCAATGCCACGAGTCAAACCACACTCCACAATCGATCAGCCACGCCAAAGCTTCTGCTTCGTTTGAGTGATCAGAGGGCCCAGATACCCAGCCGGTACGCTGAGAATGCTTTCGTCTGTGACTGCGTGCGCATTTTGAAATAGGAACATGTCCTGTGATGTTGTCTCGAGGAATTCGCACTTTTTGTTTATTTGCCCTCTCTTTGGCAGAGTGCAACTCATGTCCCAGGTCAGTATGCGCAGTTGAGAAATGCACGCCGTGTTGACACCGGCTGCATTGACAGTAATATTGATGGGCTGGCCGAAGTTGCCCTCGGAATTGCAGGCCTGGGCCCCCTCGAAAAGCAGCTCACCTGTAGTGAGATTGGCAAAAAGGTTAGTGATCTGCTGACCGTAGTTTCGATTCATGTGGCTGAAGTCGTTCAGAGTAAATGCTGACTCGTAGTTGCCGCTATACCACCAAGCATCGCAAACGTTCTGCTCATTGTATTCTTGGCAGTCAATATCGTAATTCAACTTCGTACCGTTTGTGTCCATCGCCTGCGGGTTTGTTCCCCGCGCGATCACCCCATAAATATTGTTACCGTTGAGCGCCTGGGAAATGAGGTAGGTGTTGAATGCGAAATAGAGATAATTCGATTGATCTGGTAAGGAAGGTGGCAAAGCGGTGAAGTTGCCTTGAGACGCGAAAGCAAGGAATTCAGCTTCGTTGGACATGACCGAGACTAAAGTCTGATTCAGGTTGCTTTGTACCGGCACGAGGACAGTCTGTGCAAAGTTGGCGCTGAGGTCAGCGAGTTGAATGATTTTCGAGTCCGAAGTGTCGATCGGAAAGAGAAATCGTCCGATGTTGGGTAGGGTGTTCAGCGCGTTGGATATCACTTGAGCAGCGGCCTGCCAAGTGTAGCTGAAAGCGCTGTGTGCTGCGTAAATTCCCAATGGACCTGGAATGAGCGCAAAAACGCTCTGAACCGCAAGCAGTATGTCCTGAAGGATCACTCCTTGGTTGTTGGGAATATCAATGATTTGTGCGATCGTTCCAATGTTGTCAGCAGCGATGCCTCCAGAATTCCCTACTGCCGTCCACCAAGAATAGAAGAATTGATTGATTGCTAAAGAAAATCATGTTAGCAATATTGTTATAAGCCTCTTGATTTAATGCGTACCGTATATGTTGTAAGCAACGTAGAAGACTTCTGGCTGAGTAGCAAGGTTTGGATTCTGGGGAGGAACGCAAGCGTTGGGCGCGATTTGGGAGCAGTCAATACCCCAAAGGCCGTTGAGCCGCAAGAAACAAGTTGAAAAGCCTTCAGACTCGTAGCATTTGTTGTCGTTCGCCCAATTTATGACCCATTGAGTAAGTTTCAATTCATTCCAACACTTATTTGCTCGGCCAGTTGTAAGGTTCGTGCAAACAACTTGGTCGTCATCCAGGTCGCCGGGTTGGCTAATAAATCCTGGCGAATTTGCTGTGGTTCCATTACCTGTGCCTCCAGTACTGCCATCGGTCGCAGTGGTATTTTGTGTCTGCGACGCCTGACCCCCTATACCAGCTGCGTTGCCAACAGAATCACCAGCGTCGTCGCCAGACTGTCGCTCAATAAGATTCCCACTTTCAACGCCCAGATCAATGGGGACTGGCTCAGCTATGACAATTCCATAAAGCGCTAAAGCTGCGAAGATGTAATTTGAAGTCTGAGAGATGCGCATGGCTAGGTGTGTAGTACAGAGATACGCCAAGATCTTTTAACATGGAGGACTGTAAGGACGTCGACTCCAATTATGCATGTCAAGGCCGAAAATGTGAGAGAACGAGCAGAGCACTAATGACCAGCGAGGGACTTGGATACTTGAACGGATACAAAGAAGTAAGTGAAATCAGCCCAGCCGCAGCTGCCGGCAAGTGGGACAGAATAGCCACATGATGTATGTGGAATTGAAAATAGCTTCACCGCCGGTCCGCAGTGGATAGGAATACGTGGCTCACCTTCCGCTTACCAAAAGGTGTGTTTGTGGTGCAGACTCGACATCTGGAGATTGTTTCGTTGCGCTTATATGACCTTGAGACAAGACACAAGCCACTCTTCCCCCACGGCGATCATGAATCATCGGCTCACCCACTATTCTTCCCCAAGTATCTGGCGCACCACTCTGAGAGATTCTGTGTCGCCTCTGAGAGCCGAAGAGGCTACAAGAAATTAGCATGGCGACGGCTCAAACACCAGCATGTCCAATTCTGGGGAGAGACACTCATACCGTAACAGTTCACAGTGCGTAACATAAGGTGCTTAGCTTTATACACGCAGCTTCACCTATTAGAAGTGATCATAACGAAAATCCGGGTTAATTGTTGTGTGAGCTAGTGTGAGTTCAGGTGGTGCCCGGGTGAGCTGTGTACGCGCTCGGATATCTTACATGAAAAGAACGCCCATGTAACGAGGCCTTCTTCACTCTTGCAAATCCCCAGCGTCTACCCAAATACATGAGAAAAGCCCTCCCTGACTCTTGCAAGTTCTCCGCTTCTATCTTCTTCGCTAGAATTGTACTTCAACATTCCTTTCAAGCCATCCTTTCGAATCATAATGTCACTCTAAATTATTCGATAAAAATGAAGATATATTGGAAACAAAGTCGAAGTCTAAAGATATGTGATTCATCTGGGCTGAGAGACAGTTGTATAGTATCCACTAATTCAATCGCAAAAGAGCTTTAAGGTGTCGAAAAGAGTAAAAGGCTGCTAGTCTGACCGGAGTCCCACTCCTAATAAGCCTACCTTTACCCCAAGCCCGGGGGCCCCCTCCCCCAATTTCATCATCCCTCGGCGGCCTTGCACGTCGGATGAAATCAGAACCCGGCTTTACCCGCCCGAGCCGCCTTCTCTTTGCTTTCCGCCTCACCAACCGTACCACGGCAACCCATTTGGACCAGGGGGAGATTTGAAGAAGAGGAGTTCTGGTGGGTAGGAGGTGTTGATTATCTATGAAGCAGGAAGGCTGCTGCAGGATATTTGTCCCACCAGGCCAAGCCGCTATACTACATGTGGCTAGCTGCAAAAGCCTGCAAGGAAGCCACGCCCTATAACTACTCCCACACAAACAAGACGGAGCCCCCGCGACCTGAAGCAATGTACTGAAGCCTTCTGCAAGCACTAGTAGGACTGCTTTCGTAGCATAGCAACCTAACCAACCCCCATGATAGGCCAGAACCAGTAGTGTAAGGTAGTATCGGACTGCTGAGTGAGGTGTGTGAGTGTAAACGTGAAATCGGGCTGAGGTAGCTGCTGTGGTAGGACTGATGTGATAGGCTGCCGTAATACTAACGGAGCTGACTGTGGTATGACGGGCTGCTCTGGTAGCTGTAGGGTAGGCTGCTCTGGTAGGACTGGCTGCTCTGGTACTTGTGGAGTAGGCTGCTGTGGTAGCTCTGACAGCTGTGGTACGGTAGGCTGCTCTGGTATGACAGGCTTCTCTGGTACGACAGGCTGCTCTGGTAAGACTGGCATTGGCTGCTTTGATAGCTGCAGAGTAGGCTTTGGTAGCTCTGGAGTAGGCTGCTCTGGTACTGATGGAGCTGACTGTGGTATGACTGGCATTGGCTGCTTTGATAGCTGCAGAGTAGGCTTTGGTAGCTGTGGAGTAGGCTGCACTGGTATGACAGGCTGCTCCGGTAGCTGTGGTGGCTGGTCTCGTACTCCGCTGTGGAACTCGATAAGGGACTCAAATCGTGTACAGAACAAGCTTGTAAAGCTGATGATAGTCTGCTGAGACGGAGCTAACTCGTTAAGAAGACGGATAGCGTTAGGATTCGTGTCGGCCCAGTTACCAGCGTCGTCCATAAGAAGTATATTAAGCCATTCGAGGTACTACTTTAACGTATACTCGTAGCCGGATATTATGGTGTGAAAGTGTTTTAGCCATTGAGTAGCGGATACTCCATTGCCGAAGAAGCAATCACTGCGAGTGAATTGAGGACCAGTCGACTTGTAGGCCATGCTTGCCATAGGCTTCAGGAATAAAACGAATTATTGAAAAAAGAAACAGGCTCGAAACCAGGCACGAAAACAGGCACGACAGGCCTAACAAACTAAAGAACAAGAACACACTCCAAGGCCACTATGACTCCTCAGCTCGGTCACCAGATTTGAAGAAGAGTAGTTCCGGTGGGTAGGAGGTGTTGATTATCTATGAAGCAGGAAGGCTGCTGCAGGATATATGTCCCACCAGGCCAAGCCGCTATGCTATATGTAGCTAGCTGCAAATGCCTGCAAGGAAGCCACGCCCTATCCCCTTCCTTGAGTCCGGGTGGACCACGCTAGCAGGGGCCAGATGTAGGGATTATTATTGGTCACATCACTGCTTCTAACCGATTTCATCTTGCTTATTAAGATGTTTCTTCGGTAAACGGTGATTGGACAAATGATACATTAAGGTCGGCAGGTGGTTTTTCGTAATGGTCCATGTAGACTAATTATATAACAAGAATATTATAAGTATTATTTACAAACAAGGATTTTTTACAAAATTCAACGTATCTACCCTGAAATTCTCTTAAAGAATCTTCTTATATCAGATATATTTTAACATTATAATATCGTGACTTAGAATCCCTCCCGGGAGTCTCCGTGAAAACGAGTCTTCTATAATTATTTCCGTAAATACGAGTGCCAAGCCTCGTTTTCGGGATCTGGCTACTGTAAATTACATCCACGCTTTTTAATTTCTGACTTTAGATTCAAGCGATTTAGCCAGATTTCTCGCGGGGGTGATATTCTCGAGGTCTTGGGGGGGTGGTGGGGGTGATGGGATGTGGGGGGAGGGGGTGGGGGGGGGGGGGGGGGTGAGGGGAGGAGGTAAAAAATAAAAATTTAATAAAAAAAATAAAAAAAAATTTATATTTTTAGTTGTAAAAAAAAAAAATATTTTTTTAAAAATATAAAAAAAAAAAAAATTTTTTTTTTTTTAAAAAAAATATAAAAATTTTAAAAAAAAAAAAAAATTTTTTAAAAATAAAAATTTATAAAAAAAAATTATTAAATAGAAAAAAAAAAATTCCCCCCCTAAATTTTGCTAAGACTCTCCAGGTATGATTAGTAAAACCCCCTGCCGACCTTAAAGTAATCCCTACATCTGGCCCCTGCTAGCGTGGTCCACCCGGACTCAAGGAAGGGGATAACTGGGGGCCAACCCCGCAATGCCGATTTTTGGGTTGCCGTACCAACCTCAACTCTAACGTTGCGTTATGTCACCTCTGCAAGTCTCACATAATCATCAATCCTGATCATAAATCTTTCCAATTTCCAAATGATACCCTTCTCACTATTACAGACAACCTCGGAGTAGAGCAGAAATGAGTATACCTTTCCTTGTGCTCGGGATGGACACGCTAGTAGGGGGGATCAAAGTAGTTCCGGCCGTCTTGGCATCATTTCTCGCCACCTTGCGCGGAGAAGATCTACGCCCCCAAATTAGAAGAGTAGCTGTCTATATATCAACCACCCTCTATATATACAAAAATACCAAAAAAAAAAACCTTTTCCATTACAGAAAGAGGCGGGGCCCTTTTCGAGGGCCTCGGAGTAGAGCAGAAATGAGTATAGAAGCGGTTCGATAGCCATTACATGGGGAAGTCTTGCCCACAGCTCCCGTAACCGCGAAAGACGAAACGACTGCGCCATCATCTAGGCCAGGGGCGTAATAGCGAGTAAGGTCAGTGCTGTAACAAAGAGGCGGAGGCGGAGGCGGATGACGAAGAGGAACCAAATGGTGATAACGTCAAGGTCAAGACATCTTTGCTGGGTTTCACGAGAAAGCGGTCTCTGTCTATGCTAGAGGGAAGCCTTGCGTGCAGTGTCATAATACAAGTCATAATATACGATGGGATATGTAGGCGGACGATGGGATGGGCGCACGCCATCTCGAATGGTCGTCATCTACCAGCAACAGACTTGGAATGCAGAGCTTGTCGAAGAAAGAGATATAAATAAGGGTGTGAAACACCCCACAATCAATATTCGAAAGAGTCCGAGGTGGACGGTGCCCGTCTCGCCTTGCCGGGCTTGGTGCAAAATTGGAAGGACAAGAAGGCGGTAGAACGCAGGTGTTGAGTCAACAGCACCTCTTTTCCGAAGGAACTCGATATCAATGTCGTTCGTGTTCTAGGGAATTTTGACAGAGATAGCCGGGGAAGAAAACGGTCCGCTTGAGTTCCGAGGATTGGGCTAAGGGTTTACCGCTTAATCTGCTACTCATATCTCCTCGGTCGGGAAGGGCTTTTGTGGAGTGGACACCATTGGACAAAGGAGGTCTGTATCAAAGCCTTCAAAGTAGTCGCGGACCATGTGAATGCTGAAGCCTGTTCGCCATGCTCCATCAATTTATCTCATAGGTCGCTCACTGTTTTGGTCTATCTTCCATAGATCCGGATCTCGGTGGCGTTTTTGTATGTGACCATGTATGGACCAAGCCCCAGAGGATAGCCTGCTTGTAATGCATCGTATCCTGGAAACGTTAATTATCTGGCCACTTCCCCTCACGCGTACTGTCAGAGTCCAAGAAACGGAGAGCCTTGATCTGATTGACAGCTGCTGCTTGGTTAGAAGATGTCAAAAGCGCGAAGACAGGAAAGCTGATAAGGTAGCTCTCGACTGTGGCATAACCATCTCTTTAGGCCAAGACGGGTACGCGAGACCACCTTGCGCTGGCTCATCGAACTATTCGTCAATGCTGCCACCATCTTCTCCAGCCAATACTGTACCATTTGGCTCTAATATATGATTGAAGATTATTCCATTCCCAAGGGGATGGTAGTGTAGAGAATAAAAAGTGCCAAAACGCTCGAGGCTTGCCTGAAGTCATAGCTGACACTGACCATCTAGGTCCACGGCGATACAATCATTGAATTTACATTAGCGATCAGAGATCTCCGAAGGGTTTTGGTCAGCCCCATTGTCATTTGTAATACTCATATATTTGACCGCCTTTCCCGCTTCAGATCGTCGATCCACGAGTATCAATGATTTAGACACCCCCTCGAGCCGGTCTACGGGTTCTCTTTGCTCGATCGCGAAGGGCATGCCTTCGATATTAGCAACGTGGACGACATCAATTGCCACTCGAACTAAGGCCTCAATCGCCTCGTCCTGCCGGAAGAACATGAAAAGGCTATGCAGGGCTTGATTCAGCATCAAAAAAAAGGGTCCCGGAACGACGACTACCGAAGTGACAAAGATGAATCAGGAGTTCTCAACAGATGTGATCCTAGGGAAAGGTAGAGATCTGATCATACTGTCGCATGGCGTCCTGAGACTTGGGAAGACTTCCACAGCCGAGCGCGCTGCAGCACAAAGAAGAAGGCCAGTCTTCCCCATTACCTGCGGTGATATTGATACGACGCGAGGTCAAGTTGAAGAACGGTCGAACGGATACTTCGACGTGGCCTATAAGTGAGTCTCCGTTCTCAACTCTCTCAGACGGAGCTGACCGATTTCTCGCCGAAAGAGAAAAAGGGAGGCGAACTTGCAACGGAACGGTATAATTTCAGGTATGACCCCCGCTCCAGCCGTCTCTGGTCAAGTTGATCGAAGATCGCAGTGTTCCTACGGGCTCTAGCAGTGTTGTGACGGACTTTGACGAAATATTGTCTTCTCGGGTCCAATGGCAAGCTCTACTACCCAAGGTGTGGACAAAAAGTCAACACTCGAGATGTGAGAGATGAATATGAGACGTATCGCAGAGAGCGACCTCAAAATTGAAGTTAAAGAAGACGAGATCAAGAAATTTGCCCGGATCCTGTGGGCGAAAAGTACGGACGAACAGACGCTGTCATAGGCGACAGATGGGAAATGCGCTTGAAACCGCGATCGCATTGGCTAAGTGGGACTATCAAGAGAATGGAAGCAAAAGTAATGAACAGTTGTGTCTCTCGTTAGAGCAACTCAAAGTCTTGCCCAGACGAGCGCACATTTCGACACCCACGTATCCACCATGCAAGAACGAAACCCCGCGGGAACATAGCGGTGGTTCAGCTCATTTGACGAGAAGAAGGCGTAACAGACGCAGTCGTAGGAAAGCAGAAAGGCTGTATGAAGACGAAGATAAGGATTCAGAATCGGATGGGAATGAGGCAAAGATGAAGAAGCTCAAGGCGGAGCTGGAGAGGAGAAGGAAGATCAAGAAATCCATCTGTTAAGAATCGTCTAGACGGTGAAGCGGGAAAGCCACAGGAAGCTGTGATCTTTGTGAAGGCTGGGGATGAAGATTCATCTGAGTACATTGAATCTTAATCGTTAGAAATCCGCACCTTGCTTGGCTCGAAGCCGATCGGCCAAAGTTTGCTCGGAGACAAGGACTTTCATGACATTTGTCTGCTCATTGGGCAGATATACATGAACATGGTGATTGAGAAAAGCGTTTCCAGCTGTCGAGAGATGTTGGCCATATGTATTACGGAGCGATTGAGTGAAGGCTGCACGTCAAGGATCGACTCGTTTTGCAGGACAGACGACGGCGTCAATTCAATCCATCAGAGCCTGACGCTGTGTTTGTATGTCCGTCTATCAATCGCTCATCACGCCTCATGAAAGCTGTGACACACCTTTCTTGCCACCATGGATCACCACATCATGTCAACCTACTCTCCCCTCTTCCCCAACCTCAAGTAAACGTAATAGTGATGTTGAAATCGTAGGTAGCCAGACACCACTCCCCATCAGCCCCATTGGCATCCGTCGCATAGCAATCCGTAGCGAACACGGGCTTGCTGGTACCCGTTGCAGTCACATTGTTACTTTCACCACAGTCAGCAAATGAACGAAATCACGATGCAGCCTGTTCAAGTCGATCCAGCGACTCACCCTCCACACTCGACAACCTCCTTCAAAGACAGTCTCACGCCGTCCCATTTGAACTGCGTCGGCGAACCGATGCAGGTGTAGTAATCGACAGGATCGGCGAGGGATCCCGCGTTCCCAGCCGGCAGTTGTCGCTGACAGAAGTAATTCCAGCTTTCCGACGGGTTCACATGGTAGTCGACCAACGGATCCACCACGGCGAAGTCGATCAAGTCGCTGGATTCGCCGCCCGGGGCGGCGGTGAATATCGCGAGTTCGGAAATGTTCCATGCTGTACGAGGGAGGTTTCGAGGTCAGCATTGCCGTCTGAGGACGCGTTGAGAAGTTTGCAGGTATGTGGGGGTTACACGGGAGGCAGATGCTCCCGGAACAAGTCAAGGTTCGGTGTCAAAAGAGAGATGATGACTTTGAAAAGACCTACATTGATGCTTGGAACAGGCCTGACCGCTGACATAGGGAGCAGCGAGGGCGAGCGAAGCCAGCAAAGAGGGTGAGATGAGACGCATGTTTATGGTTCACCGTTTTATGCTTGGGTAATAAGGGATGGTAATGTTGAACCGATGGTCAGTTGCTGACTGTTCATCCCATGCAGATTTAAGGAATCGATCAACGCGGCCTTTTCACATAGTCTGAAGTTGCAGAGGGAAGGTATATATGAGAACTGAACTCCATTTCTTTGAAAGGTGAGGAGGAAGGTGGGGGGGGGGTTGTGTGTGTGTCCTACGCGGAGAAACGCGCTCTAGACCTAACGGCCAGAGTTGTATAAGGTAGTCTTTCCCCACTCGGCCTTTCGGACATGTCCGGTCAAGTACAGTGGTGATATTCTAGGATCTGATCGAAACGCCACAATTCCTTCTTTCGAGCCGGCTTGGCTGCTGAAATGATCAAAAAGTGCTAAAGTATTCATCCCAGAAGCCTCAAACTGTCCTCATGATTCAGCATCCAGGAACAGGATCCTTCCAGATCTACCCCTCCTTCATTGCCCAGTCACTTTCACTCAGTCGCTCAGCTCGGGTTTGGCGCCTTGGGCCCGGCTCTCCAGAGTGTAAGTGTTATTGTCGGTGTCGTGATGATTTGTGGTGTGGGGAGTGGGGTTCGTCCATGACATTTAGCGTATGCACGAATCCTGCAAAGGCTCAGCATTGCGACTACTCCTGGGTATCTCGCTGTTAGTCACACTGGTAATAATGTCCTCTGAATTTACATGCTAAAAGAGAGACAAAAAACAACACAAAAACAGAACATATTCAATGAATCCGTAAAAGTCTGACGACGTTTCAGATACATAATTTCGCTAGCCACTCGGAAACGCCTGTTGCCCGATAATGCACGGTCTAGAATACGATAAATCCGAATCTTTCAATAATTGATCCTTTCATAATAGTCTATAAAACATTTAGAAAAATAAGTTATCAAGCGTAGAATAAGATTTTTGACAACTCTCAAACTTCCTTTCAGTGATAACAGAACCAGTCAACGCCAGCTTGTCCGGCGACGTTGAAAAAACGTACCTACTTCATCTCAGAGTTGATTTCATACATAACAGACGTGGGATGCGGGAGCATTATCAGTAAATCGCAAGGCCAAATGGTGTAGGATACATGCATACGCTAAATGGTGGATGCAGGTTTTCTTGAGATGGACAGCGTTCAGGTCCCGAGGATCAAGGAAATACGACACAACACGTCCTAGGTACCTAGCTGGGAAATATTGCGAACCTTTTCAGCGCGGCACCCTGCATATTGGCATGCGCAGATTTGGGGCTGCATCGGATGCTGGTGGGGAGATCATGCGGTGAGATCCGTGCTCGCGGAAATACAAAGGATTGGCCGTGGCCACTGATCCGGTGTCCCGGAGGAGCGATGATTGAGCTGGGCGTAGATTTATGCCTTTTATTCTTGTCAGCAAGTCGCGCCAAGATTCGTGCCTCGGCCTCGCGCCGGTAATTGATGCACCAATAGGGAGAAGAGATGATGGATCGATCATGAAAGCTATGATCCTAATACCGAGTGCTCATATTACAGCTACCGACTCATGAGAAATCTTTGTGTCTGGTTATTGGACCGCCGGATAGTATATGACGAAAGAAGCCAACGAGACCACCCGTCCCTGCGTGTTCGATTGAAGCTATCACTTTGACGCTCCAACACCCTTTCTTGTTGCAATCTTAACCCTGATATCTTTCTCAGGGGGAAACACATTGGTGGCCAGACTCTCCTGCTTCTGGCGGGGGACGTTCCATTGTCCATCTACCGGAATAAGATCAAACCTCGATAGCATACACGCCGCCAACGCCATGGTCTCCAAGGTCACAAAGTGCCGCCCTGGACACATCGAGGCGCCTCCGCCGAAGGGTCGGTAGGCCGTAAAGTTTGGCTTGAATCCTCCTTTGATCGTAGAATTCTGCTTGAGAAACCTCCTTGGCCGGAATTCTTCGACGTGTTCGCCCCAGGCCGCGACGTCACTGTGCATTACTGCCATCGGCATTTGGACCACCATGCCTTTGCGGAGGAGGAAAGTATCGTCTAACATGATGTCCTCGAGGATGTATCGGGCACCAGCGCCTAATGCATGAACGCGAAGGACCTCTTGCCAGGTCGAGTACAGGAGGGGACAAGTTTCTGGCATGGCGAGAAGACCGGAATGCTGACTTATATCCTCTGGCGTACCCACAAATCCTGAAGTTTCCAGCTCGTCGCGGATGTCTGAGACCAACCCTGGATCTGAATAGATATGCACAAGTGTGTAAAATATCGAGGGGATAGTGTTGGCAAGTACTCCAATCAGCGTGCCTACTTCAAGGCGTCCTTGATTGGGAAGCGTTATGCCATAGCGACTGTTTTCAGAGTAACGACCCTGTATCATTGCAGCACTTTTTGCGGGAATATAGTTCTCGAAATATTCTTGAAAAGCAGTACCAAGCTCCATGCGGGCACGATACCCCTTTGGCGCAAATAATTCGGGTAACACATCGGCTATGAGCAGGTTGAGAGCGTGATCGAAATCCCTAAAAGACACGTTGGTATATAATCTCTCTAGCATGTGAGCATGTGTTTTGTCAATACTCACCAAAATGCGTCCACGAATTTTGTATTTTTATTGAATGGATTCTCGGTCCCATAGAGCGCTCTAGTACTGCACATAGTGACCGTATATCGCGTCCACTCAAACAGATTGATTTCTGCATTTGGTGTGAGTGCCTCGAAGTAGGCTGAAAGCTGGGATAGCATAGCCTTTGTCGTCTGTTGCAAATCCTTGCCCGGTGCCAAGGAAGCTACTATACGATCATGAACATCGATAACATAGCCCGGGCCATGCTCGCCGTTTAGATTGTGCTGGACTATTTGACTTGTGCCTTCATCATGGCCCGTGATGCGTTTTCCGAGCATAGCGACAAACGGGTTGAACGCTATCTTTTTGGAATTACGGTTAACGGCGTTGACCAGGTCAGGAGAGGTGACAATATAGACTTTGCCACTCAGCATGTTCAGAGTGTATATAGGAAGTTTGCACTTTGCACTGCGTTGAATGAGTACTCAGCGTAAATTTGTTCCGCTAGTGAAAGCAACAGAGCAACCGACCTCGTCATCTCATAGTATCTAGTTCCATGTCGTAGAAGTCCAAGAATATGACCAATGTAGGGTATGGGGTGAGGAAGCAAGGGAGGCTCTTTTGGAGACAGCCTCGGAGCCCAGAAATCATCAAGTGCATACCACGCAGCAGCGGCTGCTGCTGCCAAAATGAGCAGCAAGGGGAGATTGTAGCCACTTTCCATTGTTGACAGGGTGAGGGCACGGCTTCCATGTAACTCTCGAAGGAAGCTGATAAGGACTGGTGTTTATCACAACGCAGAGGCGACTATTCCAGATATGGATCTTTGCTGAAAGTTGCTTCTGCTGCCGACTTGATGTGAGAACCAAGCGCTCGTAGATTATGTCTGGGTGATCTTTTTGTGCAAGACTTGCATTTGATGTAATAAGTCACCTGTCACTGGGCTTCACTTGTAGCATCTGAACCAAAATTATGCGTGACAAAGTGGAAAGAAGCGATGTCAAAGATCCACGTGAATCTCAATAATGAAACATTGTGTTATCGGCAGGTAATCGGATCCTTGCATCATTCATTATTCGATCTACTCATGCTTACTCGTAAAGCCTTTAGGGTTCCTGGGCAGCTTGAGGAAAAGACTTCAACTGGCCTTTCCACAAAATTCAGCCTGACCATGAAGCAATTAAGTGTGCCGAAAGTATCCTGAAACACAGCCTGCTTGGGTCGTGCTTGCATAAAGCGGTTAAGATCTTACGTAAGCAGGGGTTTCATTGGCCGTGCCTCGTGCGGGCATAAATGGCGCAGCTGTTGATCGACGGGCGCCCAGCTGCAGTACAGTAAATGGTATGATGCTTCACAGCAGCTGAAGATACAATTGATAATAAGCGCTGCTACTCAGCAACGTGTTCGCAGTGCGCGGAGATCAATTGTGGATCCTTCTGCAATGCCTTGCATGTTAAGCTCCGTTTACTTTGATTTCTATTTCTGCGATATGTCGAGGCTCAGCCCATCTTCGCCTGGTAGATTTCTGGATTATTTCCCTGGCGAGGCTATAATATGGGTTTCATACCCCCTTATTTTATGAAACGATAGGTCTGATTTTCACAAGTCATTTCACTGGTAACCAACCCTCTAGTACACTCGTTGTACGAATCTCATAATGTCTCAAGCGGGAAATGCCTCGCAGGTGCCCATCGATGTAAACAAGGTAAGATGGAGAACCCTCCGCCCCGTCTAATGTGTTGTCGTCCGATTGACCTCGTGTTAGGGGGTCACAGGAGCCTTGTTCGGTCTTGCCATAATTGCATTCATCATCCGAAGCTATATTTGTATCCGCATTCATAAGAAAGTCCATGTCGAAGACTTCATCCTGCTCTTTGCGGTTATGTCCCTCTGCGCCGCCACCGGTTTGGCATACGCCACGCTGACAGCCCAGTACGCTTTGATTCAGTTGGTCCTTCATGGCTTCGAAGGTGATATAGTATTCCGGCTGCTTGGAGAAATACCAAGTATATCGAAAGAAGAGAACGCTGCAACAAACCTATGGTGGCTCGTTATTTTCTCTGTCAAAATGGCCTTTCTGTTCTTCTTTCGCAGGCTAATCTCTCGATTACGGAGCTTAAACGTATGGTGGTGGTTTGTTACCGCACTTACCATAATTGCTGGTTTAGTCAGCGTAGCCGCTTCTTGGCTGACTTGCCCGTACTTCACTATTGGAGGCCTTCTTTGTGAGCAGAGACTGTAAAACCGACTTGTTGGATGATTAACTGACGCTGTTTTGTCGTTGACTAGCATGTGCAGGACCCTCTGCAGATCACAGAACCATACGGGACACTGCTATCACGACAGTGATGGATATCATGAGCGATCTTCTTGTCCTATCTCTGCCTGTCAGCATACTATGGAAAGTCCGTATCAGCGTTCGACAAAAGATCGGTCTAGCATTCTCGCTCTGCCTTTCATGCGTTATGGTAGTAGTGACCATAGTGAGAGTCGCAGGCATGAGACAAAGAGGCAGCGGTAGCGTTGATATTGTCTGGCTGGCTTTCTGGCAGCAACAAGAGTGCAGCATTGCAGTTCTCATGTGCTCCGTTTCTGCCTTTCGCTCCCTCTTCGTTCCGAGTCCAGCAAGGACTCCTATACCACGACAACAAAGGGACTCGCCGAGCGAGAAGAGGAGAAGGTTTGCGCATCGACGTCCTGATCCTGATCTATATGATACCCATAAGACCAACGAGCTCCCGCAGATTCCGAGTGCAACGCTCACAGGTATAGCCACTGAGATACGAGGAGGTAGACAGTCTGAGGAGACAGCAAGTCTGGATCAACGATTCAACAGCCACCTTCCACCATCGGACCATGATCACTGCACAGAGATAGCCACAACCAACTCATCTGCTCGAGATGCCGAGCTTGGGCTTTCAATAGAATCTATATTACCACACTCGTGCCTTGAGACCAGCAACGCCAGGCAGAGCAAATCCAGTGGCACACGATGGTGGAAAGCATTTCTACAGCCAGAAACAGCCCCGACTGCATCTACAACTCGCACCGGGTATTGGGAAGTCACAAGTCTCTTCCGTAGCGGACACCCTGAGTCCATCGTCCGGTCAAAGGATCGGACGGAGGGTCAGCTCTGACAATCAACATCATTCGCGAGAGTGACGACCGAGAATCGGGGAGGGATGGGATACTGGAATTTTTGCAGCGGTAGCTGGAGGGAACGAAGTGAATAGACATCAAGCGATCAAATGCAGCTAACAGTTATGTGGTACAATTACGAGATTGGTGTATCATAAAAATGACAATGAGTAAAGTAGCTGCTTGTATGTGCCTCAGACCGTCAGAGCATTCGAAGATAAGCAGAAGGGGCTAACCCGAAGGGGCTTAGCCAGTGAAGAGCGAGCTTAGCACGCTCTGAGGCCAGGCTGTGGATGATCGTATGATTAATCAGCTTCGAATCTATCATCTGATTGGCTCAGACATTGAAACGGAAATGCTTTTGAAATGAAGAATCATGAAGGATAGTTATCGAGCAAGAGACTGCCGACCGGGCAGATCTGTAGTTGATTCTTACTAGCAATGTCAAGGCTCGGGTATGTACAGTGCTCTCTCATAAGCCATGAATACATTAGTACGTAGATCATGAACCACATAAAAGCCATGCTCCCTCATGTTTCCTCTTCCTCATAGACCTCTCGAACCCTTTGTGAACAAGCAACCCATTCAGAATGTCTCCCCCACTCCACTCAGCTTCCTCGCACCTCTCCTCTCAGGGGGTCCCATTTCCCCTCCCCCAGTGCTTGGGCCCAAACTTATTCTCCGCCCGCTTCCCAAGCCACTGAATCTCTTCTTCGCACTCGCGGGCGCGATACCAGGAATGGAAGATTGACCGTCGCCCTTGCCGATGGTGGTTCTCCTCGAAGGCGTAGGGGTGAGGACTTCGCCACTTTCTTCTTCCTCCTGGTGCTGGAAAGATGAGCCGTAGTTGCTCAGTCTGCTTACGCTTGCCGAATGGCCGTGACCGTGGGTACTAGCATAAGAACCTCCAATCGAAGATCGAGGGCGGCGAGACTCGGATTGCGTGGTACTGTTGGCGTAATGACCGAGAGGCGTCTGGCTACCAGTATTAGATTGCCGGCTGCTTGGACGACTGGTGCTCGAGGAAGTGGCGCCGGGTAGATGGCTGATTGATTGTCGAGAGTGAAGACTTGCACGAGAGCTTGGTCGACTATTGTAGGGATCACAACTTGGCGGCCGACTACTGTGCATGTCACGCGTAGGACTTAGCTGTGGGATTCCGAATGATAGCCGACTGGATGGGCGATCAACGGTTGGAGTGTAGGCTGAAGATAGACGGCTGGCCGGACGCTCTGTCGTGGGTGTATGGACGGAAGAAGCATTGGAACCACCTATCCGTTTCTTGTTGCTGCGCATTGTGACGGTAGCTGGGATGAATGACTGTCCAATAACAGAGCTGCTGCGTGGAGAAGTCCGTGGCGGGGTTGATGTTGGCGCTGGGAGTTTCGAGCGTGCCGATTTGAGTCGTTCCTCTAGGTTCGTCATCTTAGTCCTCAGACCACGAATCTGATGAAGCGATCCGGAATGTGGGAGACCAGGACCTCTCTGCTCCACTTCAGGACGGTTTAACGTGTTTCGGCGTGCGAACGATGGTGTGCGATCATTGGTCAATGAAACAGAGGGACCGCGAGAGTGCCTCGGCTGACGTGATGAATTCTTCTGATAAGCTGGGCGTGGTGTTGTGTTTGAGTCTGCCATGGAGAGCCTCGACTTTGCTACTGGCAGCGCAGGTGTAGTAATGGTTGTGGGAACAGATCTTTCAGACACGGGTGGGGACGGAGGTGTAAGTGTCTCCGATACTTCAGAAGACGCTGATTTCGTTGGTGGTGTCGCGATGGTCGGTGACGAAGTGGATGTTGTTGGTGATATCTCTGATAAAGCTGACTGAGGCCGGGCAAGGTCTGGCACAATCGGTGGTGGCTGCCTCCGATGCTGCCTTTCTGCTGCGCCTTCTGCACGACGAAGCTTATCCTGCCTAATCTCGGCTTCGATTCTGAGATCGCTGAGTTCATCTCGTAGCCGCTGCGTTTCAATTCGGAGAGCTTCTCGTTCTTGCTCGCCAGTCTTGATCTCTTCTTCGGCCATGACTCCACGCTCTATAGAAACGTTATATTTGGACTCTAGATCTTCTAACGAAGATGTTGTATTCCGTGCCTGTCGTTCGAAGTCGTCATTCGAAACCTCTATATCCCGTAACCTAAGCTGCAGGGTCCTATTGGTGTCACGTAGAGTCGTGATCTCTTTCTGGAGTGTATTCTGTGCTGTATTCGCTTCAGCTTTCGACTGTTTGTATTTGCTCTGTTCGAACATTAGATATAAGCCATAAGATCCGGTGTATTGACAGTGTTCTGTTTGTAGGCCCGTCGCCCGCAGTTTGGCCCAGCTTACCTTCCATTCCTCGACTTCAAAGCCCAAGCTCTCCACCTTCTCTTGTAACTGCCTTTCTCTCCTTTCTGCAGCCTCTACATCCTTTTCCAATTCAGCCTCCAACTCCTTGCTAGACGCCTGAAAGTCCGCAAGCTCGGCTTCAAGCTGCTCATATTGTGATTTGTAGTATGCCAATGAATTTTCGGAGTCCAAAGATATACGCGGTGAGGAAGAGATCGAGTCCTCAAGGTTTGGCATGACTGGAGGCAGCCGGCCCAAGGCGGCGATGAGGCTCGCGTGGGCAGTTGAAGACTCGCCCCAAGAGCTGAGGCGGAGTAGCTCAAGAAGCCTCCGATGCCCCGGTCCGGGCAGCAAATAGGCGTTTCGGTAACAGCTCGGAATCAGTCTAAAGTGTAAAGCTCAGGATCACCAGGCGCGATGTTCGTAGTGAGCGCTGTAACGTCGTTCCTGACGTGGGCAAGAAATATCTTTCTTGAAATATCATAACAAGTTCCTCCTCTTCAAAATCACCAGATCCCGCGATTCGAATGTCCTGGACGCAGCCTCTGGAAATGGTTGCCGTCGTCGATGCCGAAGCTTGAAGTGAACTGAAGTGAACGGAAGTTACTTCCCTCGTTCACCAGGTGTCGACAGATTACTCCACCCCGAGGTTTACCCGGCTACTGCCGGCTTTCTTGAATTTAAGGGGATTTCTATATACGAAGTCCGGGCCCGTATCGCTGAAATGCCTTGGCGATGTCGTTAACTAGTAGAAATAGATGGTAGACGTATTAAATCTGATTTATAGTGATATTCAGAAGGAATATATATGGTAGATTCTCAGTTTTCTTCAAATGCGTGCAGTAGCCGGGCAAACCTCGGGGTGGAGAAATCTGTCGACACCTGGTGGTTCGTCAACATTCAACAAACGCCAAGCCACTAAGCTCTAGCGTGCTGTCGGCTAGCAACATGAATTCTTTCGTTGACGCCGCAGTCTCTGGAATTCGTTTTCCCATTGTATTTCTTCCTACATCTTGGGAAAATTTCGCCATACCGTCTGAGGTCCCAAACGCTAAGCCTTCCCTACATACCCTGTACTAATCTCTAGTTTCCTAGTATTGTTCTGCTTTCGCAATACTTTCACTGTTTCAGTAGTCTGTTGTTTTCCCTCTGGCAGTTATGGACTCAAATAGCACTGCTTCCTATGATTGGTATTGGTCCGTAGATATCCATATGCCTCGCTGATCTGCAGATTCTGCGCTAGATCCCCGCTGCGGGACGACGTGGCCAATCCCACAGCGACATGGTCAAGCTTATCTACCAAGCCATACATGCTTGTCGCAAACAGGAAGGTGTCGAGAAATGATCTTACATACTTCTCTAATTCACATATATGGTCTTAAAACGATGCTCCATTCTCTTTTATTTCTCTTCTTTTCAAAAAGTGGAAGTTTCCTTTCTATAATACGTTGGCAAGCGGAAGGAATTTCGCCATGTCGACCCATGAGAAAGTCTTCAGCGAGGATGTCCAAGAGGACACCGTGCTGGAGAACCTGGGCTACCAGCAGGAGCTCAAGCGATCCTTTGGCCTTTTGGGGATGGTAGGATTCAGTTTTAGCATCGTCACAAGCTGGACAGCTCTTGGTGGTGTTTTGATCGTTGGGGTGGAGTCCGGTGGTCCTCCGGTAATGATATACTCATGGATAGGTATCAGCGTCTTCGCCCTGGCAGTCGCGTACTCGATGGCAGAAATGTGCTCAGCATATCCTCTTGCTGGTGGGCGTACGTACATATCGGAGCTGAACCTTCCTATTTGGTAACGAAGTTGAGTCGCAAGACATGTTTCGGGAGCAAGAAGACCTTTCTACTCCCCAAATCTGTCTTGCAACTCCACCTCCTACTTCGAATGAAGACTGCTGACTCCGAAATCTGCGTAGAATATTCATGGGTCGCCGTGCTAGCACCTCCAAAGATAGCGAGAGGCATGTCTTGGGCTACCGGGTGGCTAATGATCACTGGTATTCTCGCCATGGGAGCAACAAACAACTTCATTGGTGCGAACTTTATACTGGGCCAAGCCAACCTCTCGTTCCCCAGTTACACCATCGAACGCTGGCACACAGTACTCCTCGCCTATCTCATCGCTTTGATAAGTACTGGCGTTAATATCTACGGGCCACACCTGCTAGACCGAATCTCCCGCTTCATTCTTCTTTGGAACATCCTCTCTTTTGTCATTGTTGTCATAACGATCCTCGCCACCAATGATCACAAACAGCCTGCCAGCTTTGTCTTCCACGATTTTCAAAACTTCACTGGTTTTAGTACCGGCTTTGCAGCGATACTGGGGCTCTTGCAAAGCTCGTTTGGGATGTGCTGTTACGACGCGCCAGGTAAGTTTCATACGAGACATACCCATGACTTTGGTACTGTTTGACTAACAGCGTTTTCGTAGCTCACATGACGGAGGAGATGAAGAATGCTTCCAAGGAAGCGCCTAAAGCAATAATCATGTCTGTCTACATTGGCGCAATAACAGGATTCATCTTTCTGATATCTGTCTGCTTCTGTATCGGCGACATCTCCTCAACAGCCTCCTCAACGACTGGCGTACCCCTTATTCAGATCTTCTACGACTCCACCGGATCTGTTGTCGGCGCCTGCTTCCTCTCATCCTTGATCGTCGTGATCGTGTTGGTCTGCGCCAACGCTCTACTGGCTGAAGGCTCAAGAAGCTTATTCGCTTTTGCGCGTGACCACGGCCTACCGTTCTCCAGCCTCTTTGCCAAAGTGGAGTCCAAAAGACAGGTGCCCGTTTATGCGATCCTGCTCGCTTGTGCGGTACAAATGGCGCTCAACTCGATCTACTTTGGTACCTTGACCGGATTCAATACTGTGATCTCGATTGCAACGGAGGGTTTCTATCTCTCATACGCAATGCCACTGCTTGCCCGCATCCTCTCATGGTTCACAGGAGACGTAAAGATACTGTCGGGTCCTTACAATCTTGGACGATGGGGCATAATCATGAATGTGGTTGGTCTTAGTTTCCTCGTCTTTACATCGATAACGTTTAATTTCCCAACCTTGGCACCCGTGGACTCGGGGAACATGAACTACACGAGCGCTGCAATAGGCATCATCGGGCTGATTAGTATCATCACCTGGCTTATATCTGGGCGAAAGGACTTTACAGGACCACAAATCGCCGGTGCGGTCCCCGTCCTAGAGGTACGAGCGACGGAATTGCTTGACAATCTAGATGAAAAGCTGGCGGAGAAGAGCGAGACCAAGGACTAAGACTATACAATCTTTGGTCCATTCATATCCGTCGTTACCGTTTTATCGGCCACATGCCGTCTATATGTTGACAGAGCAGTTCTGCTAGAGCCTGTAACCCCTATGAACATGGGACTCAAGCCCCATTTATTGTTCTCTCGTGTATTGATTCTCTTTTTTCACATATCAAATCTGGCTCGAATTTCTACTTTGTCTGCAGACCCACAGCACATTGCCTGGCCATTTCAAACTATTTTGAAGTCAGTATATCTGGCGGTTACGCAGACTGAGTCTCCATACCTGCTCATCTGTTTGGCACACCAGACTCCGATGCCGCGCCTCCTTGCCAATATCTTGGACCACATCCTCAATTGCTTTGTCATTTTTCTCGTCATCAACCTCGAATCCGAGACATTTACACTTTTCCAATATCCTTTTCCGCAAAAGCGCTGCTTTTTCCCCAATACCTCCTGCAAAGACCAATGCATCGACTTTTCCCTCCAATTTGACGTAATAGCTGCCGATGAAGCCAAGGATGCGGTCAACGAGGATATCGAATGCTAGTTTGCATCTGGGATCTGATGATGACGAGATTATGCCGAAATCTGTTGTGCCGGCGAGGGCTTTCCAGCCAGATTTCTTATTCAGGATCTCTTCCGCCTATCATGATGGTCAGCACTTTCGCACCCAATCTCCAGTCACTTGCTCTATGATGGACATACTGTGCTAATATGCAGCTCCTTAGTACTGCCTGGACTTGGTTTTCCAGCGTCGTGGGTGAAATGGAAGATCAGGCTTGGATCCACGTCGCCACTTCTCGTCGCTCCCGGCAGACCCGCCAACGGCGTCAGACCCATACTATTGTCCAGCGATTGCCCATTCTTGACCGCACAAGCCGACGCCCCGCTACCAAGGTGCAACGCGATAATACTCGTCTCACTCTCCGGCTTCTTCAGGAACTCCGCCACTGACCTTGTGATAAAGGCATAACTGATTCCATGGAAGCCATACTTCCGCAGCTTGTTCTTCTTCGCTATCTCGGGATCAATCGGATATGTTTCGATTTCTTTGGGCATTGTTGAGTGGAATGAAGAGTCAAAGTATGCAATATTCTTCGCTTTTGGCAAAGCCTTCATGCAAGCTTCGACGATGGCAAGGGCGCTGGCGTTGTGTAAGGGTGCGAGGTCTGTGAGATCTTGAAGATGGTGGTATGTATCTTCATCAATGACATGGGCAGCTGGGTAGTCCCCTCCGTGTACGACTCGATGGCATGCATGTGTGATGTCATCTCTGCTGGCAATCTCGGACAGTCCTCCGTCTTTGACCAAATGATCCAATATGTATTCACAAGC